AGAGAACGTTAATGCTCAGGTATACATTACTCTGAGAATGGATTAGGAAAGTCTTAATACAACTAGTTCAACTACTGAATTAGGTTGTCTTTGAATATGAGTATATATAGTTTTGAATTTATTTCTTGGTATAATTGAATCGGAGTATATATAGGTTTGAATTTATGTGTTTTGATACAACTAGTTTAACTTCTCCAGATTATATATATGTTTGTTAAAATACATTGTAAAACCTTACAAAACACTTGTAAATACCTTGTAAAAAACCTTTAAAATACCTTGTAAATTTTTCCCGCCAAAAATTTTCCCGCCAAAAAAATTTCGCAAAAAAAATTGCGGAATCACTTTTCCCGCAAAAAATTTTTTTTGGCGGGAAAATTTTTTGGCGGGAAAAATTTTTACGGGAAAATTTTACAAGGTTTTTTAAAGGTTTTTACAAGTGTTTTGGCGGGAAAATTGCGGGATCACTTTTCCCGCCAAAAAATATTTTGTATTTTGTGGACCTAATTTTGTTTCAAATAAGGGTAAAATAGTCATTAAAAATTAAAAGAGGGCAAACTTAAAAATGGACTCTCAAAGGGGGCATTTTTGAAAAGGGGTATTGAAAAAGGGGCATTTTTAACAATTTCTCTAAAGGAAATGGTGCGTAATCTTTTAACAAAAAAAAAAATGGTGCGTAATCCTGGTAGTTACTTGTCAAATTCCCATTTAAAACATCGCAAATTGGTTGAAAAAGTTCACCAAAGAAAAACTAGATAAGCATCAAAAGTTTTTAAAACTTTTAAAATTCGCCCATAACTCTTTCTTAGAAACAATTTGAAAAATAAATCAAAATATTCAAAAGTCGGTTGCTATTTATTAGCGATAAGTATACGTACTTGTTTTCTTGTTTGACAACTAACATGTAATTTGAAAATTTTGTTTGCTAAAAATGAAAAAAAATGTGGTCACAATTCCCAACGACTCGCTTCTGAGCTGATTCAACAGCAGTAGACGATACTACATTGTGGTCACGAAGCAATGTAGAAGATACCAATTTTTTTTGTCAACCATCATATGTAGAAGATACGATTTTTGCATTGAATAAAGACATTACACATTAAAACATACGAAGCTTAAAAGATAAGTGTAAAACTGTAGAAGATACTATTTAAAAAAAAAAAATCTGTCACCCAATGAATGTAGAAGATACGATTTACGCGTTTAGAGCCACCACCCAGTCATTGACCAAAACCAAATCATCTCGAGTGGGAACGTACGTAGATATATATGTCATATAAATATTTAATAAGCACATTGACATGCACATGTACTGATTGACTACAGATTTAATAAGCACATTGACATTTCACATGTCACATGCAGGGTTCATTATAAAAATATCTAGGATCCTAATCCAAATACAAAACAGGCCATAAATTTTATTGAACTATAATCAAACTTCTAGTTATATCAATAATTTATTGGTAATGGCAAATAACTCGACAGATGAAATGTGCTTGGCTAAGCGTTATATTTTCTTTTATTTTCATAGTTTTTTTTTTTTGTTTTTTTTTTTAAATTTACAACCTATAAACCTTAGTTAATAATTCGTGATTTATATATTGATCATCATGTATAATAAAATTAATTACTATTAACGATGATATATAACAAAACGATATCTTATAACAATTTCTTATTTTTGTTACCATTTTTGGGAGTTTTGACTTTTGATTTTTTTTTTTTTTTGGGGTATAAAATCTTTTGGTTGTGTTAATTGTGGACGAAAACAAATTCATATTTTTGTTGGCTAAGTTAAGAATTAAGACCTGGTCTACCTCTCTAGAAAAACTTTCAGCATCACTCAAAACCCAAAAAGTCAAAAAGTCACATTCTTCTTTCCAGTTTTTGTTCCAAAGACAGAGAGAGCCCAAGATTCTTAATTGAGATTCTGACTGTACACTACGAGCAAAAGAAAGATCTCAAGGTTGAAGAATCATGAGGTTTGGGAAAGAGTTTGTGTCTCAGATGATCCCAGAATGGCAAGAAGCTTACATAGATTACGCTTACCTCAAAACCATTCTTCAAGACATCCAAGCTTCCCGTAGGGTTTCAGATTCCAATAACCAGAACAGTAGTACTCCTTCCTTCGCACGCAACCTAACCAGACGGTACAACCGCGACGCCTTGGTCTCTGAGAATCACGACATCGTGGTCAACACTGCGACACGGGACGAAGAAGGGCTCGAGA